TAGGATTTGAAATCAGGGAGTGAGATACCTCCTACCGTTCTTCTATTCTTAAGGAGTGCTTTGCTTATTCGGGGCTTTTTTCCATTCCATACCAAATTGGAGATTGCCTTTTCCATCTCGTTGAAGAATGAACAACAGATCTTGAACTCTGTCCTGTGCTGGGCTAGCTCCTGATCTCTGACATTCGAGCCCACTGCTGCAGTCAATCCACCTGGTAAAGAATCTTCCTGTTCTTCATGATCTTCTACCTTTCGAAGCATGATGATTCAACAAGGAATATAGTGTTTCTGTGTGTTTCTTTCAGTGTTTTCTATTTCCATTTTTCTGTAGATGGAATTATTCAGTTCTACAACTCAAGGTTTGAGTCTTTTCTTCAGCTATTTCAGATTAAGGAACATGAAGTATATTCTTTTAGCTTTCTAACTGCAGATCTCTGCACACTTTTTCAATATACTTTGTTTTGTCTTCTTGAGCTGACCTTTGAAATCTTCTGTGCAGCTCTCTTACTTCACCATTTCTTCCTTTCCCTTTAGCTTCTCAGCATTATAATGCAACTTTTAGAATCTCTTCTGACATCCATTTTGGTCTTTCTTTTCTGCCTTTTTAAGTAGCCTTTGCTTTGTTCACATATGCTGTCCTTGACATCATGTCACAACTTCTTCAGTTGTAAATGTAAGATTATTCACTAAGATATTGTTAAATAGTAAGACAACCTAAACAAATATAGAGAGCTCTGTATGACTCATTTGTAGTGTGTTGTACAGCCAAACAAAAGGCCACAACTCTCCTGCAATTCAAAGATACCAGCAACTGTCCATCCCATTAAGACGTACAGCCTCAGAAACCCCATGGAGGGTCACTACGAATGGGAGTTAACTTAATGGCAACAAGCTAAGTTTTGTTCCCTTATGGCATATTCATTTGCAATCCTGTTGATAACAGGGAGTTCTGGTGGCATAGTGATAAGGAGCTGTGCTGCCAACTCAAAGGCACATGGTTCTAATCCACCAGATGCTCCACAGGGGGATTGGCAGTCTCTTCCTGTGCGATTTACAGCCTCTGAAAGCCCACTGGAGGGTCAGCTATGAGTTGGTTTTGATTTGATAGTACACAACAACAATAACAATGTTGTTGTTGTTGTTGTTGTTGTTGTTGTTGTTATGTGCCATCGAGTCGCTTGCGATTCATAGCAACCCTATGTAAAACAGCCCTAAACCCTGCTCTATCCTGTGTCAATCGCACTGCCTC